AAAATTTTTTTTTTTTGGGGGGGGGGGGGAGGACTAAAGTGATGCGATTGGTGTCACTTTGAATGACGATGCTAACGTCATGATGAGATCACTTTAGTTTTTTTTTAAATCAACCCCCCTAATTTGTATTGCATATTCTTGTAGCTCGTGTCGTGGCATTTTCCAAATGGTAGTGTTAAACTTTTCCAAATAAAACTTACCATAGGATATGAGCCTCACAAATACTTCTACCTTTCTACAGTATGTTTTTATTTGCACTGGCGATTATTTAATTTGTGAGGTTTATATCTCATGATAAGTTTTATTTGACAAAGTTAACCACTACCATTTTGAAAATTTCACAACATGAGCTACAAGAATATGAAATAAAACTTAGGGGGTTTGATTTACAAAAAAAGCGAAAGTCATATTGTGACTTTAATACCCGTATTCATAGTCCGTTCTTATTTCAAGGGTGAAGGAGGCCTTGATGGAGGCTTCAATCTCCAAGGCGTCCTTGTTTCATAGTCACACCTCAGCTCTCCCTTCCAGAAGGACGGTATATTTTAGGGACATGTAATTGCCTATAGTGGCAGGACTGGCCGCCACCTCAATCCCTTTTTGTCTATTCGAGCGACATTTTTTTCAGAGTTTGAAATAGGGATCGCGTAGTCTATACTATAAGCCAAGCCAAGATACACCTTAAATTTTCTTTCTAGGTGTTGACTTTCGTTTGATATGTCTAGCGCCCCAAGCGGCCTGTGTTTAGCAGCTAGCCCAGCTCAGGCAGCAAAAATGTATCTTATCAGTTATTGAAATTGTCGGCTCATTTTAATTATACATTTTCTTTCCAGGTGTTGACCTTACGCAGGCCAGGTAAAATTAGGAAAAAAAAAGACAGTGCGTATTTCTTTTACGTTTCGACCCTCATTGGGATCATCTTCAGAAATGTTTTATTACTAGGTAAACATGTATGAACTGTTGAACAATCATTGGTTAGATTGCGTAAAAAATAGTAGGCCAAGCCTACAGCCATAGTTAA